AAAGGTATCATGAAATCAAGGGGTACAATATATATATATATATATATATATATATATATATATATATATATATATATATATATATACACATACACATACACAATTGAAGTCAGAATTTTAAGGGTAATTAGGCAAGTTATTGTATATTATCGAAAAATATTATTCAATATTTTATTCTAGCAGAAATAAAACAAATAAGACTTTCTCCAGAAGAAAAAATATTATCATACAAAGTGATAATGTTCTTGCTCTGCTTAACATCATTTGGGAAATATTTAAAGAAGAAAGAAATTATAATTCAAAGGGGGCTAATAATTTTGACATTATATATATATACACACACACACACACACACACACACACACACACACACACACACACACACACAATATTTCATCACCTTGGAATTCTAAGGTTCTATCTGCATTCTAAATGATTTTTACATATTGAGCTTTAAAGCAAATAATATTTGTGTAACAGATAGACCCTAAATTTACTCTAAAGAGGGTAAAAAAATAGATTAATTGCCTGAAGCTTCTAATTCTAAAAAATAATTTTCTGCGTAGAATTATAAGATTCTATCTGGCAGATAATTAATTAAAGCATTACTTTTCAAGAAATACAATTATTTATTTATTTATTTTAATTGGTGTTGTAACATTGTTGATATATGAGAAAGTTAAATCTTTGCTTTCTTTAACAGTTATTTATTGTTTTAGAATGAATATTTTTATTGTTCAGTGCAGATGTTAATTTTTATGGTATTAATATGCAAATATTTATGGAATTTTACGCTTTATGTGAACTATTGAATTATATTTATTGAATTATATGACCCATGAGTTAAGTATTTGCCCTTCAAGCATTAATATCAAATTTAAAGATTTTAAAAGAAAACAGACAATGAGCAAATGAGTTTAATAAACACTGAAAAATGTTTCACTGATTATGATAAATGCACAGATAAAAATATTTCATATTTAATATATTACGTTTTTTTAATAACTGTTTATTTTTCAACAATGTAAAATGTAACTTTTCATCTCAATGTCAAAAAATGTTTCTAAATCATCACATTTACACACATCTTTTCAGTTTCAGGTTTCTTCTCAATTCTGTGTGATGCGGCATTATTTAGTCGACTCTGGTTCTGTGTGTCTTTCTGGCTTTTCCTACTGTCAACGAAGCAGTCTAGTGGTATAACAAAGAAAGCTGATCCTGTTTGGTCTTCATGCGTGCATTCAAAATGCTAATTACCTCATAGAAAGAACCTAATAGAGCCAAGCAAGTGTTTGTCTTAATAGATAAAACCTTTTTCGTTTTTTTTTTTTTTTTTAATAAAAAGTCTTCAAATGTAATTATTAAAACAACGCTTATAAAAACAACTTATACAAAAAAATCACATAATGTAAATAAGCCATCATTTAATAAGAATGTGAATGACTCAATTTTGACAAAAATCTCAGATAGAATCTTATAATTCTAAGGTGAAAATTTCTACATAATGAGTACACACATTATGTAAATATAAAGTGTAATTTTGAATGTTATTAATCGTGATAGTTTGAGAGCACTGAAATATATCAATTATCCTGGAGGAACTGGTCAGCAGCATCAGGTTCATGCAGACAGTTTAGATTCCCTTGTTATTATCTAGTGTGTGCCATTAAACAAATTAAATTTCTACAAGCTGCGCACAGGATTAATGCATGAACTATTCTCATAGTTACTTTAAATATTTAATAACTTCAATGGAAACTTCAAATCAAAATTTGCATGTGTGCCTTGTACTGTATCTATCTCTATTGTTGTTACGAAACACATGAAGTCATAAATATATAACAAAGCAAAGATCTATACACTGATAGACTCTGCATTGTTATGAAAATCATCATAATCATGGGCCTAAGGCTTCATCATTGTCATCATTATTGCACAGACATGATTACCAAGATATGTTTGAAAGATAACAGCAGATGGTTTTTGTTGTTTACTTTTGTCTGTTTATCTCTTGTTGGGCTCCTGGCATTGAAAAAAAGAAAACTGATTTTCAAGAAATCCTGTACGAGAACGCAGGGATGTCGGTAAAAAACCAGGTGAAATCATTTCCAGTCTCTTAATGGTATTTAAAACTAGAACAAACCAAACAGTTTGACCTGTGCAACTATACAAATTCATCAACATTGACTCATTACTTTAGCATATCACATGTCAGACTCTGGTGTGTAATGTAAATGAAAGGGTAAAACTGAAAATGTTAAATAAATGTGGTTAAACAACATCTGTCACTGATGACAAACAACATATGCATACATAGATGTACAAGTTTTTTTTAAGATCTAGAGTTTTCCCAATGTGACAATGGAAAGTAGTTTAAAAAGTGATGTATGTGTCTGACTTCTTATGAAAGGCAAGGAGGGCACAGACAAGAAGAAAGATGATGAATGTAGTGTGCTTCCTGCAGCTCTCATAAACCTGCTTGAAGGAAAGGATGTTGGACCCTTATTCTCCCATGTGTACTAAAAATGTGTCAACAAAACGGAAACAAAGAAAAAATATCAACTTAAGAGGGATGGAATGCACCTCTCTCTGTCATGGTGGCTTTGTTTGTGTCATAAACATCCAAGACTGTATACAATAAGATTCAATTCCCATTGTAAAAGAAATCTCAAATGCTACACCATAAAAAAATAATTATGACATGAAGGTAAGATATTTAAAGTGTTTCCTTAAGTTTTAACTATACACGTTTATAAGTCAATTCTCTTCGAAAAACTTGTACAATCGTATTAATTGAACAAATACACTTACCGGCCACTTTATTAGGTACACCTGCCCAACTGCTCATTTCTATTTCTAATCAGCCAATCACTTGGCAGCAACTCAATGCATTTAAGCATGTAGACATGATCAAGATGATCTGCTGCAGTTCAAATCAGGCATCAGAAAGGGGAAGAAAGGTGATTTAAGTGACTTCAAAGGTGGCATGGTTGTTGGTGACAGACGGGCTGGTCTGAGTATTTCAGAAACTGCTGATCTACTGGGATTTTCACACACAATCATCTCTAGGGTTTACAGAGAATGGCCTGAAAAAGAGAAAATATCAAGTGAGCGCTAGTTCTGTGGGCACAAATGCCTTGTTGATTCCAGAGGTCAGAGGAGAATGGCCAGACTGGTTCGAGGTGATAGAAAGGCAACAGTAACTCAAATACCCACTCGTTACAATCGTGGTATGCGGAAGAGCATTTCTAAACGCACATCAAACTAGGCATGGGACGATAACCATTTTCAAGGTATACCGTGGTTTGGAAAAGTCAAGGTTTTAATACTGTACATTTTCTGCAATACCGTTCCTAAGGTATGTGTACCATTTTTTATTTACTTTTTTCTCCAGCAGAAAAATTATCCAAAGATGTCGCTTTAAATTGTAAAAAATAAAATCTGTTTTTGAATTATATGAAGACAGCAGAAGTCAATATTTAATTGTAATTGTTTAGCCTGACAGGTTTACCGCTGCAAAATATTTTAAATGTTTCTCAAAATAAAATATTTTGTGTTCAAAATGGGGAAAAAAATATTTTTTACCCAGACATTTAAAAAGAATATATTATAGAGCAGTAATCACAATACTGCGAAACCGTAATTTTTTTCCCCAAGGTTATCATATCTTCAGAATCTTATATACCGGCCCATGCCTACATCAAACCTTGAGGAAGATGGGCCACAACAGCAGCAGAAGACCACACCGGGTGCCACTCATGTCTGGTAAGAACAGGAAACTGAGGCTACAGTTTGCACAGGCTCACTAAAATTAGACAATAGAAGATTAAAAAAAGTTGCCTGATCTAATGAGTCTTGATTTTTGCAGCGACATTCAGATGGTAGGGTCAGAATTTTGCATCAACAACATTGCCTTGTATCAACGGTTCAGGCTGCTGGTGGTGTAATGGTGTGCAGGATATTTTCTTGGCACACTTTGAGCGCTGAGTATTGTTGCTGACCATGTCCATCCGTTAATGACCACAGTGTACCCACCTGTCTTATGATGGCTACTTGCAGGATAACGCACCATGTCATAAAGCGCGAATCAGATAATTTCTTGAACATGACAATAGCGGCTATTAGAATGAGTTCACTGTACTCAAATGGCCTCCAAAGTCACCAGTTCTCAATCCAATAGAGCACCTTTGGGATGTGGTGGAACAGGAGATTTGCATAATGGATGTGCAGCTGAAAAATCTGCAGCAACTGCGTGATGCTATCATGTCAATACGGACCAAAATCTTGTTAAATCTATGCCACGAAAGATTAAGGTTCTGAGAGTAAATGCAGCCAGGATTAGTAGGGTGTACTTAATAAAGTGGCCAGTGACTATATATGTAATAAATTTGTGCATTTACAGTTTATTGTAGGCTACTGTATATTGAGCCACATACAGGTTTTATGTCATACAGAATTAATTTTGTGCATTGAAATTAATAATTCTGGGTTACATCCTATGTAAACTTTTTTTTTTTTTTTTTTAATCGTGGCTGCAGAAATAAAGTTTCAAAGAGAAGTCCTTTGCTCTTTGTGCTTCCAACCATATGCTTGAGTTAAACAGTGTGATTTAGAAAAGAGTAAATTGAGTTTAATTGGTAAAAGCTGGATTTTGTGTCTAAGTAATGGTCATGTAGGTCAGCAAAACACATTTTCCACTCGGGTTTTAAAAATAAAGAGAGCTTTGCTGAGACACATAATTTACATGTCAGCTCAGAAATGTCTTTTCAGTTCATTTAATCTGAAAGGTTGTGTAGCAGAATCTTGTAAAAGCATGTAAACAATGTAACGATGGTCCCTTACCATTAATCCATATGTTCCGATGTTGTACTTTTGAGTCTTGAGTGTAATGACCGTGGTCGAGCACGTAGTGGGAGTGTTTCCACCCCCGCATGCGTCGCAGTAATGAAGCTGATCCGCTTAATATGGTAGTAAATAAAATGCAGTGCTGATAAGTGCCAGAGTGCTGCACGACAGGAGCTGAACGACCAGGCATCAGGTCTGCATTATAAACACATTTTTAGGACAACAATCGCGTTGCCTGTAGTTCAAAATGCCTGATTACACTGGTTACTGGAAAATGATCTCCAACAACAACTTTGAGTATCTCAAAGCTCTTGGTAAGTTTTTATTATTATGATTAGCCTTTGATTTGTTTGGATCCACACTTTATTAAACGCTTTTTTATGCTACTGAAATATAGGGAGAAAATATCTGGTATTTGTTAACTTGAGAAGCCTAAAATTTGTTCAGATGTCGACAAGTCTGTTGGATAACTTTGAGTTAATTCAGGGATGTCCAAACTCGGTCCTGGACGCCAGTGTCCTGCAAATTTTCGTTACAATCACAATTAAACACACCTGAACCAGCTAATCAAGCTCTTTCTAGGTATAGACTACTATAAACTTCCAGCAAGATGTGTTGAAAGAAGTTGGGGATACGTATCGTCTGCAAAATAGCCTTTGTAGGGTTGCCACACATTTTGTCCTGTAAAATGCTTTTTGCAGTCTATTTTTACGTTTTATCCTAGCTCCACGCAAAGCACTGAAGCAGAACTTAAATAATGTCAAAATTTTCATGCCTCTTTGTAAGACCAGATAAACAGGTCTATATTCTAAATTGGAAAAGTAAAAAAATTGCGGTGTCTGGAACGCTAAAATCGGTGCTTGGTTATAATTGAATTGTTGTCACGCTGACGTAAACAGCTTGCGCTATCGCGGAAAAGCTCTTGAGCAATTGTAAGGTATTAGAATAAGAAATGCAACAACAAACTTATTCTTCGAATTCTCCAAAAAAAAAAAAAAAAAAAAAAAAGTCTAATTGCTCCATAAGGGAAATCATTGGTTAGCGTTAATACAAGATATTGATTGGAAAAAAACATGGCTTCTCTCATATAAATATGTAATCCCAAACAAAACAAAGCAAAGAAAATTCATTTTAAAATTCTACACAAAATATACCCGGTCAATGCATTTATCTTAAAATTTACTGATATTGCAATTACTTGTTCTTTCTGTCAGGAAAATGAGGAAACTGACTTGCATGTTTTGGTCAGATATATAATTATTTGAATAAATCACAATCAACAAAACAAACTTTTTACATTTATATACGAAAATTTTTTGCTTACAAACTAAAATTTCTTAAATCCTCTTCCTCATTTTTAATTAAAATTGATTCCTTGCTTAAAGCTACACGCTTATCTAACAACAAAAATACGTTAGTAAGTTAGTCTTTAATGCTTTCTGACTTTTTATTTATTTTTGTACTTCCCCTTTCTTTATTTTGTTCTCTTTTTTCTGTTTCTATTGCTTATTATTCTTATCACTTTGTAATTGTATGTATTTGTATTCCAGTCTCTTACAGATTACTTCCTGGTTTATATTGTACATTTCCTCTTTTCTAAATGAAAGTTTATTTTAAAAAAAAAAGCTCTTGAGCTAGGCCTGCATTAGACGTTGAATTGTGTTTCGGTTTTCATTTGTCACATTTATTTAGTTTTTTGGTATTAAAATAAACAGAAACACCTGCATTTTGTTATTTTCTTTTTTTTAATATTATTTATACATATCATTCTTTATTCGTCTTTCGCATTGCAGGTGTAGCCTATACACTTTTCTGTGATTGTGTAGAACTTCTGATTCCTTTCTGTGGGTAAGTAATAGGAATGATAACAGATGCAGTAACTGGTCAAACAACTTGAGCTACAAACCAATGTTGTTATGACAAATCCTAAGAAATATCCTAAGAAAATTCCAGTTAACAACAAGAAGCAGCTAAAGAACTGTTTTGGACTGCTAAAAAAATCAGTGGAAGTGAATGAGAATGGAAGTCTTGAGTTACCATGGCAGCATGAAAGACATGTGGGAACAACTCAATTTTCTTTGGTGTTTCACAAGCTCTGCGGTAGACTGAACGCAATGAATGTTTTGTTCCACAACATAAGACTGAAACACCCTGAAAGTTTTAGGAAACTTCAGAATTCTAATTTTTGGCTTGTGTGGATTTAGACATTTCACTTCAACAATGTACAGTACATTGTATTCTACACGGAATCAGAGTGGATTGTGGGTGTAAAGTAGTGAACCAAAGTAGGCATTGAAGACTCATTTTTCATTGAAGTAGGCACTTTATAAACTACTTTAAACTTTAACAACTATAACAAAAGAATGTAGGCTAGCATGAATATGAGTGGAATTTGGACATACAATACTATATCTGTCATGTTGACATTGTCACATAAACCCCTTCACTCTCATTCATACATGCTTTCCTGTGGCCTCATGAGATGGTAAAGTATCCATTGTATGCATTGTATGCGAGATTCAAGAATATTGCCAGAAGTAGTAAGTCAGCTGGGTACTTGGTGTCTTCTTTTTTTGTTTCATATAGGAATTTGTTTGTACTACTCGCATACTCTCAACCTAAGGTACTATTTAATATTGAAATGTGATTTCATACACTGCTACAAAATGGCAGAAACACAATTGGATACGGAACGGCTTTAGATAGCTAATAAATCATTCAGTAAAAGAGCTGTGATTTAGTGCGTGCGTGCGTGCGTGCGTGCGTGCGTGCGTGCGTGTGTGTGTGTGTGTGTGTGTGTGTGTGTGTATATATATAAATTATGTTTACATAATTTATTTTGATTTATGTATAATGTTATTTATATATAATTATTATATTTATATATAATATTATTTATTTTTATTTATTTGTTTATAATATTATTTTGTATAATATTTATTTGTGTGCGTGTGTGTGTATGTATGTATGTATGTGTATATATATATATATATATATATATATATATATATATATATATATATATATATATATATATATATATATATATATATATATATACATTATTTTTTTTATTATTATTTTTTTTTTAATATTATTTATTTTTAATTTTTTTAACTTATCTTTGGTTATTCAATTATATTTGTTTTTAGTTTTACATTTTTATTTATTAATGTATTTTTATTTTTATTCAATTTTTTTCTTTTTTTTCTTATTAATTTTTTAATTGGTATTGGTTAATTAAAGTTGTATTCGTAAGTAGAAGTATAAGTTAAAAAAAAGTTAAATATAGTATAAAAGTAAATATAGATATATTAATTAAAAACAATCGCCACTGGAAATTTGCAAATAAATCAGTTTGAAATTGAAGCTAACATGTGTATATGCCTATTTTGTAACCTATTTTATTTTTTTCCCCAAAGATGTTAATGTTGCTATCAGGAAAATTGCTATTTTATTAAGACCCGATAAAGATATCAGCCAGAATGGAGATCACTTTGTCATCAAGACTGTCAGCACATTTAAGAACTACGACATGGACTTTGTAGTTGGTCAGGAGTTTGAGGAAGACCTGGGTCCAGTTGATGGCAGGAAATGTATGGTAAGTGTGACACCATATTCACCACCCAACGTTTTCCCTTCACACAATAAGTATAATCCACAAGTGTGAATGATGGAGAGGGAAAATTGACAAAGCAGAAATTGTAGTGTTTGTCCACTGCTTTTTCAGTCTTCGGTCTAGAAATGGCTCAAATAACTGCTTTCCCATTTGCTTTCTGTTCACTTGAATGCCTTATTTTATTGTAATCCCCTCATGGAATGCAGATAAGTAGAGAAAGCCATTTAAAAGTACAATGACTCAAATATTAAGCAAAAGCTCCACAGTTTTATCTTTGTTCCAGTAATTTAGTTGTTCAGCTTTTGTAGCTGTTGTTATACTCCAAACTCTCTCTTTTTTTTTAATGATTAACGGTTCAGTCTCATGAAAATGTTTCGAAGGCACGCATTCATTTATCTGATTAAAAAAAGAACATGAGCTGAATAAATGAACTATATCACAGAAATCATATCCGAACAGCCAAACCCAAGTTACTTTGGATGAAAGTGTCTGACAAATTATGAAATGTGAATGAAACTTGCATTTATACTTTAATGGTATACGACTGATGGTAAAACATTACTAGTTAAAGTGTTAGTTCACTCAAAAATGATAAGTCAGCTTTTATTCGCCCTCATTTCAAAAGTTATGACTTATTAGTGTGTGTCCTTTTTCATTAAAAATGTCTGTCCGACTATTTGCTTCACAATGTCAAAATTCAAACATTGGAACATTAAACATGAAAACTTATAAATTGAGCTGTTTAATCCAAGTTGTTTGAAGAGACACAGTCTCTTTGTGTCAAATAAAATCCTCAAAATACCCATATTTGGTCAAACCATTTGACGTTCATTATTTTATGTAGAACTAGCATGTTTTAGCTTCTAAAATCCATCCCTACATATAATTTTAAATCTAACTAGGCACATTATTGGTGACTACATGTATAAATATTTTGCTATCCCACAGACCACCATCACTTGGGATGGAGACAAGCTTGTGTGTGTCCAGAAAGGCGAGGTTGAAGGCCGGGGCTGGACCCAATGGATAGAAGGAGATGAACTTCATTTGGTATTTATGCTAAACTACACCATACACACTGATTTATGCCTCATTGAACGAGTGCATGCTTGATTTTTTTTTGGAACCCGCAAGTTGGTGCGCAGCATATGCTAACTGATGCTACATGTGCTCACTGATGTAAATTAGAGGCCCATTGTGCCTCAAACGCCAGGACGTTATTATCATTTCAAGGCTATTGTGCTGTTGAACTCATTTGCAACGTTACCAACAGATGTTCGACCACATCTGTGCAATGTTGCGCTTAATTACACCAAGCAAACCCTTTGACAAAAGGGCATCAGAGGGCTGAGGAATCTATAATCAGGCTTATACTGCCACCTGCTGGGGTGAGAAATGCTACAGTCTAATTTTACTTGATTACTGTACTTAGTTCACTTTCTTCACTTATTTTGAAGCTTGTTTGAGTCTCTTCTGTTGAAGACAAAAGAAGATATTTTGAAGAAAACTAAACCTGTAACCATTGAATAGCAAAGTATTTGTTCTTCCTACTATGAATGTCAAAGTTTAAATCTTTCTTCAAAATATATATTTTTTTGTGTTCAACAAGAGCCTTTTTCAGTAAGGAGGTTCAACCAAGTTTAAACTTGAACTGAGTTGACTTACCAAGAGATTAAAAATGCAGAGTTTTTTGGTTTCAGAACAGCTGATCTGAGTTAAGCTGCCTTTCCACTGCACAAGACAAGCGATAGAGCGGAAGTCTTTCATTTCCAATGGAGAGTAGTCCGGGAGCTGCGTAGAGTTCCAATCATCTCCGTATGCGGAAAATTCGTAAGTGAATTGAGCTGCGGTTGATCCGTTGAAATATTTAAACTCTTGCGACTAGACCGTATGCAAACGGCCGATCGGATGTGATGTTTTTCAGTGTCCAAGCAGGTCTGTGCGCACGAGATAAGAAATAGGAGTTTTTTAAGAAAGTTTTTTTTTTAATCAGAAAAAATTCAATATTAAAAAAATATTTCTATACATAATAAAAATATTGTATTTTAATGTTGTCTCCGCATTCTCTCCAAAATTTTAAGTGGTCTTTGAGTTTTGACTGAAGCTGCGGTCACACTGGACTTTTCTCCCCATAGAGGTCCATTCATACGCATGCGAATGCGTCAGACCAGAAATGCAAGCTCAAGAAATGCAAGCTCTCCAGTTGAACTTAATAATTTATAGCAAATTTGACCATTTATTTAAAAAAAGCAAAAGCTGCATTGGCGAAACCGAGACAGTTAGTGTGGGGAAACAGCTGCTCAAGGTAATAAGCAAGTTTACATTTAAAATATTTAAAGCATTTAAACATTTAAGTATAATAAATAATTAGTAATGTAATTTGTGAAGGTTATAGACCTGGAAAAAGTGGTAAATTAATCGTAATTTTTGAAGTTATTTAAGATGTAATTGCACCAAATTGCATAAAACGGGCTACTGCATAGTTTCTACAATAAATTTGACAAAACATGAATGCATATATTCTTATTGATCAAATGGTAGAAGTTGATATGACATTTAGAATTTAAGCAGTACTAAAAAAATTATTTTAGTATGAGTAATAATTAAATTATTTATTTATGCAGTAAAATCAAAGGTAAAACTTGTAAAACTATAGTATTAAATCTAATTGAAATTTTCCCAAAAATAGACAAGTCATTCTCGTTACTTTGTTCTTTGTGTGATTGAAATGTAGGCAATGAATGACTAATTGAAGGATAAGGTGAGAATGAAGGCTAAGGCAAACATTATTGCTTTATCTTTAAACTCTGAGATTCTGTTGGTATCCTGCCCTTTTTTAGAGTATAAAACCTGCTCCTGACCAGATTAGGTTCACTGAATAAGTTACTGCTGCAACTGACTCTGAGTAAAAGTTACATGTACATCTCTTTCAGAAACAGGCTTGACTTACCCTGCTTTCTCGCATTTGACAAACCTGCCATTTTTAATTGGGGAAACCCAGAGTTTCTCTTATTTCAGAGTTTTTACTTTACCTCCCTTCTGAAACGGAGCCTAGAAGACAGAATCATATATAGCTATTTGATGGTAAGGTAACAGGGAGTAAAGTATTATTTTTTGGTTGAACTATCCCTTTCAGTTTTATTTTGCTGGATTTGTACATGTATTCAACATATGGTATAGTTACTGTACTTTTTTTTTTTTTTTTTTTTTTACTCCTTGCAATTTTTTTGTTTTGCTTAATGTGTTTTATCTTCATGTTTGTTCATTTGTTTTCATACAACATAATGCCAAAGTTTTTACCTCCAAAAGAGCTAACAAATCAGTGTTTGGTGAAAAATAATAATAGTAATTTTTAATCTCAACAAATGAAAACATTTGTTATTCTGACCAATTAAAAAATTCAAACTATTTTTGACATTTATTTTTTGTGCCGAATGTGCAATAATATTTAAATGTTTGTTTTTTTTTTGTTTTTTTCATGAAATATTACAAATATATCCAAAAAGTAATTATAATAAATTATGTGTTCATTCTTAGTGATCTTACTAGGAGTGGATAATTAATCAATTAATTTATTAAGTTAAACTATTATAAATCTAGATGTCTGACAAATTAATTAATATTTATTTTAGTTAATTTATTGATCTATCATCAATTAACATCAATTTCATCTACTGTTTTTAATTTTGTGGCATTTTATTATTATTATTATTATTATTATTATTATTATTATTATTGAGTATAATCTAAGCAGGGCGAAGCAGTTGTACAGTACGTAGTGCTGTCGCCTCACAGCAAGAAGGTCGCTGGGTCGCTAGTTCAAGCCTCGGCTCAGTTGGCGTTTCTGTGTGGAGTTTGCATGCTCTCCCTGCGTTCGCATGGGTTTCCTCCGGGTGCTCTGGTTTCCCCCACAGTCCAAAGATATGCGGTACAGGTGATTTGGGTAGGCTAAATTATCCACGGAGTATGAGTGTGTGTGTGTAAATGTGTGTGGAAGTTTCCCAGAGATGGGTTGTGGCTGGAAGGGCATCCGCTGTTTAAAAAAAACTTGCTGGATAAGTTGGCGGTTCATTCCACTGTGGCGACCCCAGATTAATAAATGGAATAAGCCGACAAGAAAATGAATGAATGAATAATTTAAACACTTTTTACACCACCTAAAGAAATGCGGTTTATGTGAATCATTAATGAAATAATGTGGTTGGCGAATAAAGTATGTTATAATATTATATAATATATTGTTACATTTTATTTTTATGTGTGTTTTTCTGTTCAGGAACTGAGAGCAGGGGGAGTTGTGGGCAAACAGATTTTCAAGAAGTCTTAAACCAACGTTGTGTAGTGGTGCCCTCTGCTGGAGAAGAAACAAACAACCACCATAGTCAGAACTGCATCTGCCCATCCTCTCATTCATCAGTCTGCGTGTTTACATTTTCTGGAAGTGCTTAAGCTATTCCAGTGTGTTCAGTTAATATAACAGACACCCGTAATGCATATATATGAATTGCGTATGTACCAAGTATGGTTGGTTTTAGTGCTGTAGTCACTAAGATTAACCCCTTGAGAGATTCACTTCTGTTTAAAATACTTTCTCTAACATCTGAGGGTCTTTTTGGCTGGAGAAAAGATATCAGCTCTTGACCCCCTAAGCAAATCCAAATTGTTTTTTCTTTCCACAAGCTGGAAGGAGATAAATGTGGTGAGAGATGATGTGATTTTCAGTTCCTGCACCGCTGCATGTAATGGAGATGTGTGCTCTAAAAAATGTACAAATAACAACTGATTAAATGAAGAAAGACTAACAGATAAGAATTGTGCAGGTTTTTATTGGATTGAAGGAACAATAAGATGGCGTGCATAAGTTTATCTGTTCTCATTTTGAGTGTGTGTGTGTGTGTGTGTGTGTGTGTGTGTGTGTGTGTGTGTGTGTGTGTATATATATATATATATATATATATATATATATATATATATATATATATATATATATATATAATGGGGGAATGAATAAGACATGATATCTACAATATAAAATTACTACTTAACAATGACTATAAATGGCAGAAAAGATCAATAGGATAAGGCACATCAGTCAAACACTTGTCTCTTAAAAACTTGTTTACACACCACTCCACAGACTCTCATTTCCTGCAAAAAAAGAAAAAAGAATTAAATGAATAATCAATTGTATCATGTATTTAAAAAAAAAATCATAAATACAAATCCAGCTAAATTTGCACAGACCTGCCTCTTGGTTGTATTCTATAGTTCATACAATTTTTGTACTTCAATATAAAGTAAAAATATCAGGGATGCTCCGATCAGGATTTTTGCAGATGATGTCAGGTTCCGATTTCTTGCCGATTCCGAGTACCGATTCTGATTCTTCGAAGCTTTATATAACTTTGCCATTGCATAAAGCGAATTTTCCTTTCAAATATGATAGTGGAGATCACTCCTTAAGCATGCTAAATATAACCCCTAAACATGTCCTTTATAACTGTTTAGTATAATGTTTAAAGCAACTTTACAAAAAATTATAGATAAAACCGATAAACATTAATTTTCTTTTCGGCTTAGTCCTTTTATTAATATGGAGTCGCCACAGCAGAATGAACCGCCAATCTCACCAACATGTTTTACGCAGCGAATACTCTTCCAGCTGCAACCCATTAATGGGAAACACCCATACACTCTTACATTCACAGATGTACACTACTGACAATTTAGCCTATACAATTCACCTATACCACATGTCTTTGTACTTTAGACTCAAACCAGCAACCTTCTTGCTGTAAGGCGAACATGCTACCCACTGCGCTGCCCACTAAATGATTCTATTTTATTATTCGGGTAATATTGTAAAGTGCCTTATATAATATCATATATTTTTAATTATAAAATTGATTATAATTAAGTTGTAAGTATCATAATTGAAAGACCCTGATCTTTTAAACAATAGTTTGAAACAAATTTATTTCCACAGTCAGTAGTAATCGTAAATGAGCACATCGCTTAATAATAGAATATTCCATAGAGTTCTTTAATAAAGTCACTAATTGGATTTCTGCTTGCACACATTTAAAATATTTGTTACTGTAATGTGTGGCTGCTTCAGTATTTGTGTTATCTCATTAACTACACTGTAGACAAATAACGTCAACAACTAACAAGAAGCAGCCAAGTGGAACCTTCCATAACACAACAGACCATGACCTCATTTGAACCTCGTCCTTATGCAAACTTACCACATGTAACTCGTCCCCTTTAACCCACTGCGTCCATCCTCTTCCCTCCTTCTCTCCTTTCTGCACACACACCAACTTATCCTCTTCCCAGTTCACAGTTGTCTAAAAAGCAAGGACAAAAACATTGAGAAAGATGAAGCTGCAACTGACTGACATTTTATTCATTTTTTTTTTTTTTTTGGTCTGTAGCAATAGGAATAGGTTTTTAGCACATGCAAGGAAGAAAAAACTAGTGTCCTCTCCTCTCAGCCTGATGATTCAGCACTACTTTTTCTTGCTTATTAGACCAAAAAAAATCTCTCATCCAGAAAACGTAGAATTCTGCCTTAAGCCTGATTTACACCTTCGCCTGCCACTCCGTCGCGGACTTCCGCTCACTGTGCGCGCACCTCACGAGGTTTTTATACTTTAGGCATTCGCCGGTGAGATTTATTAAAAAAAAAAAAAAACAACAACAACAGAGGGCTGTCAAAAGAAACCCACTGGGTTTTTTTTTGTTTACTTTATTGTAAAAAGTTATCGATACAGCTATGAATGGCCTGAAACAAAAAACAAACATCCTTAATCCGACAACAGACACGCATTATAAACAAAATGTAATAAAAAAAGATTTAAAAAAATAATAAATAAATAAATAACAATAAATAAATAACAAACACCTTGGGGTTTCAGCAAGTTTTGGATCTATTACATCACAAACCCACCGTAAAATCAGACGGATAAACAGAGAAGTATGAAGTTTCCGGAAACTCATTTTTTATTGAATGCTTGAAAAACATAAACAACAAATGTCCACAATCAAACAACAACAATCCAGGGGTTTTTAGTCATTTAATCCAAGACAAGTGCCAAGTCCTTCATTTATATTACTTTTAAGTTTGTTGATCTCTCAATAGACTCAAAATACTATTTCATTTCAGTTTTAAATTCATAAAAAAAGTTTATATATACAAAACTTGCTCTTTTGAATAAAAAAATTTGGCCAACAAAAAAAATCAGGTTTATGAAAGAACTATTATTTTCCTTTTAGCGTTCATGAAAACCAAAGATAACATTCTCATATGTAAATTTAAAGATTACACTTGTCTGGATAAAATCTATGGATCAGTTTAAAGGTAACTTCTCTTATTTTTATTTTATTTATTTTATTTTATTTTTTTTAAAGTGGGGTAATGTCATATCATTAATATTATTGAATTATTCATTTTTTTAAATAATTATTTTTATAAATTATTTAATGGTTAAGATTTTTATAAACATTCAAGATTTTTCTTTATCAAACTTTAATGTATCACTTGCTTTTGTTCATATCTTGAACATTTTTACCTATTAAAGTTTATTAAAAATGAAATGACAACAGAACATGGGTACTCTACAAATGTGTTTTATTATGGCAAGAATAAAAGCAAAAAAGTACACTTACTGAAAAACTACAGATGTTTTTTTATATATATATATATATTTGGCCCGCTCCACAATTGACACATTGCTGTCTGGCTAGTTTCTGTCCTCCACTTGCTAAAAGGCAATAATGGTCCAATAATCCTGACCATTATCACTAATAAAGCCCAAAAAACAGGGCATCAGTATATTGCAAACCGATAGGTTCAAATATCCTTTTCCAGTTATCAAAGAAATAATTTGTTTTCTTAATTATAGTTTTGTAACCATTAAATAATTCTAATTCAAAATTGTAATATATACATCTTTGTAAAACCTGTAAATGCTGGAATACCTGAGTCTCCACTTTTGCCATGGCCTCTTTGGCTTTAACAAACTTATCCCACATGTTTTTTTCCAAATTGTATTACAAAAACTTTCCTTCTTTCCCACTGTTGCAATTTCTAGCCAAGAATTATGGGTTATCTGGTTATCCATATGATCAAGCATGGACGGATCATAAAGATGTCTGTACAGGCGTACTGTTCAGACAAAATCTCTTCAAAATGACTCGTATTCAACTCAAATCAAACTCAGCGCCGTGCAAACTGTTTAATCAAGTCTCAAAAAATGTTGTGCGCTCAGCCGAAATCATGTTTTGCGCACCCAAATCAAAACTCTGTAAACACAGCAGTGACGTCACATTCACTGCGCGCACTCAAGTATAGTATAAGTCGAGTATAAACCAGGCTTCGTATTTATAATATAAATATAATACACTTATTGTAATATAATACTAATACACTTGATGGATGTTAAGTCAGCATCATTAGTCAACATTTTTTGAGAGTGATATTTGATAGCAGCTTGCCATTTGAATGCCACATTTCAAACAAATGTAAAACTTTTTTTTTGTCTAAAAAATGTTGTCAAACTCCAACATCTGCTTTTAAAATCTAACCCGGAAAAGCATTTTCATGCTTTTATGACATGCTTTTGTGAGTGTCCATATGAAGATGTCTGCCCTGCAGCAGGCCTAATAAAAAAACTTCAGTTGGCTCAAAATGAAGCAGCTGGAGTGCTTACTAGAAATATGATCATATTAGTCTGGTTCAGTCAGCATTGCACTGGCTCCCTTTTAAACCTTATGTACAGGGGCGGACTGGCCATCTGGCAATTCTGGCAAATGCCAGAAGGGCCGGACCATTTTTCAAATGTGGGCCGGTATGCTATTTTTAAAAACAAAAAATGTTTTTTTTTTTTTTTGTATGTATCATTTTTACATGCAGGCAGCTTTTATCTCTTGCAAGATGTGAATATAATCCCGGTTTCCCTCACATGTCCAAACACATGTGCTATAGGTGAATTGGGTGGGCCTAATTGTCCATAGTGCATGTTTGTGAATGTGTGTGTAGGGGTTTCCCAGTGATGGGTTGCATCTTGGAGGCTATTCGTTGCATAAAACATATGCTGAATAAGTTGGCGGTTATTCCGCTGTGGCGACCCCTGATTAATAAAGGGACTAAGCCAAAAAGAAAATGAATGAATAAAATGACTGTATGGATAAATTTGTTATAAACGGGTTGTTTTTGTTCCAGTCACATTAAATGTTTAAATATCTATTATATATGGTACAGCTTATATTATTTCACCATCTGTACACCAATATAAGTAGTGAATGTGCGTGTTCGTGGATGGGGCTGTGTTGGTGTGGTAAAGTGGACTGGTGTTGCTACAGTGCCAGGGCTGATTTTTAGTCCCAGTTCGCCCCTGCTTATGTATATATTAAAACCTATTGATTATTTACAAAGCACTGAATGGCTTAGCTACACAGTATTTGAGTGAGCTTCTGTTCTGTTTATTTACTTTCACCTTCTTTAAATAATTCTGGCCAGTGGATTATACATAGAATATCACAACTGATAGCAGGCAGTATAGGTTCTTTTCATATCTGGCACTTAATTTCTGGAACAGCCTTCTTGCACAGTTAGGGAGGCAGACACATTCTGTCAGTTTAGACTAAAGAGGCATCTTTTTGCAGGAGCATACATGTAAAACACAAAACTTTAACATTTAAATCCTTAAGAAATTGTAAGGCTGCATTATTCAGAGCAATCAATACTGTGAACACTTCTCAAAAAGATACTGTAAGAAAAACTGTATCTGTTAGTCTGTC